TCCATGTCAGCCATGTTATCTTTCCACGTGTGTTTAATACTTTCACATGTCATGATATTACCGTGAATTAACAGGACACGTCACATGATTTTTAATAAAAGAACCAAGTTGGAGTCAAATTGATAAATAATAGGGATTAAGTCAGGAATTTTTTCAATTCAAAGATCAAATTGGGAGTCTATACAATAGTTGAGAGACCAAAAATGAGGTTTAACTATTAATCTTTAAGTAGAAAAAAGTTGAAAATTGAGACTCTTTAATAGAAAAAATTAAAAGTTGATATATTTAATTAGAAACTGATAAAATTAACATATTTAAATAGAAAAGAGTGTAAGGTTAACATTTTTATTTACTCATTTTATTTTAATTGAAATACTGAAAGTTGACATTTTTAAATAAAAAAAGTTAAAAATTAATATTTTTATTTAGAAATTGATAAAATTAATATTTTTAGATAAAAAATACAAAATCAATATCTTTATTTTTACATTTTCTCTTTGTGAAAAGTCCAGGTTATGTGTGCTGCTAAGCTAATTAAAATATATATTTTTTTAAAGATGTGTCTTATTATGGCATGTAGAACTAAAAAACAGAAAAGAATTCACTCAGACTATCATCATCACTTGCGTTGCACTAATTATTTTTTTAATGAATAGAGCTAGCCAAACAACAAATTGGGGCAAGTGATGGGTAGGAGTTTGAGCTGGCCATTTTCTTTGTTCTACTTGACGAAGTAATCGGCAAGTCAATAAAAAAACAATTTTTTAATTGACTTGAAGGCACACGTGAACTTTCATTAAAAGTCTGTTTTGTGTAGCTAGAGCTTTTAATGAAAATACTTTTTAAAGGAATCTATTGTGAAAGTATTTTTTTTAAGAAGTCAAAAATGTTTGATAAAATTTTTTACTAAGAAACTTTTTAAAATGTAAAGTTGTTTGGTAAATTTTTTTATAAAAGGTCTGTTGATCTTGAGATGACTAAAAAAGATATTTTGTTTAAAA